ATACGGAATGACGTCTTGGGCGCGGGTCATTGAGGAGTTGCCCTTGTACTTTGCAATTATTTGTCTGATTACTGAAGGCTAAATTCACCAATTTTGGTTTTTTTGTTGGTCTTCAATTTTGTATATGTTATAAGCTTTTAGCAAGAGAATAAACAGATGGAAAAAAAGTTGGATATCCACTTTAACTCTGCGTACACAGTCTGAAAAAACCCAATCTGAGTCACATTTGTCCACTAACCCAAAATTTTGGGTTGTAGTCCATGACAGCTGCAGGCTTTAGAAGGGGTTCTTGGTCTCTCTGTTGTCCCTGCCACGGGGTACCTTTTCATTTTCTGTGAAATGATTAAACAATGTGACACACTTTTTGTCATCCCACGAAATGCCATGATGTCATTGGCAGAAAAGGGCTTGCCCCCTCACCTTGGAGTCCCAGCGTCGAACCTTGGCATATTTTTGCGATTCCCACCCACTGTGCCCCCCACACGTCTGTAAAGTTCACTCGAAGAAACCCTGAGTGGGGGTTTGTGTACCATTATCATAAATAACTATGCCCCTTTCCCAAATAGGGTTCCATTTTGTTGAACCACACACCAGAGTCCCCAAAAAAAATTCATGGTATCTCTAAAGTATTAGCCAGTGTCCCAATAATATCTAAAAAAGACCCTTCTGAAATACACAGTACAAATACTTAACCAAAGCGTTTCCTCTTGCTTGGTATATATTGCTTTAATGAGGTCTTCTTTGAATAAAATCAAGGGTCATCAATAACAAGCTTCCTGAAGGGAAAAAAATACTGCAGCACTTTTGTTTTTAGGTACTAAACACAATTCTTATCTTATATAACCCGTCCCTTTGTCAGGCCGGGTTTTTTCCCCGAAAAATGTAACATGAACAGTATCAGGAAACGATTTACACCTAAATGTACAAAAACCCGGAGTTGAAATCAGGGGATCTTTGTCCTATGGGTGACAGGGCTTATACCATGTGGCATAAGCTTATTGTGGGAAAAAACAGGTACATCTCTGCCACAGTTTTCCTTCCCTTGTTAGCCGTGATTTTTGGGGGGAGAATTGTTTTGCCAGGTGTAATCGAGATGTGTTTTTTTCCTGACAAGATGTCCAAGGGGGCATCAAAGAATAATCAAAGACCAGTCCTGGCCTTTTTTCCCAAATGGGCAAGATGGTTTTTTCCCCTTTTTGGGTTTTCATCAAAATCAGGGGCTGGGAACAAACTCTCACCGTCCTGCCAAACCCCGATGCGGTCTGTTGGGGGGTCTGGATATTGTACCCTGGTTGGGGTTTGGGGTTTTTTGGGGCAGGTTGTGGTGGTGCAGGTTTTTGGGAGTGTGGGGTAGGGGGGATGGTTGTTCGCTGAGTCAGCCGGTGGGGGAGTACGTGGGCCCGGTGATGGTGCCACATGGGCCGTGCCACCCTCACTATCACCACCACTGCCTCCTCCCCCACTGTCACCCTTCATACCCTCGTTACAATATCACATCTTCACTATCAGGGCGGGTTTTAGGGGCCCCGGGGTGTGCTCCCAGAGTTTTTCCTTCCCCTTGAACAAAAATATGAAACACTACCGACCCGCTGCTATCGTACATACTGGGGCTTCACTGGGAAAATTTTACTCTCACTGTCACTGAACTGTTCAATGACTTTAAATCACTTCACACATGCATCTCTGGTGTTGTACCGACCAAATATTTCCTCTTTTGTCCCGGTCGGGGAAAGTGAACGTGAAAAGCCAAAAGACCGAGGTCAAGGTTGTGGTCTTGGGGTTTTTGTCACTATTTTCGTTATCCTGGGCATTTTTTCGGTAACACTCATTTAAACCCCGGGAATTCACTGTCACGACATTTTTATCGCTGTTTGAGCTATCATTGGGAATAAAAGAAAACCCCCAATCCGCCGAGGAGTGAGGAACTTCTTACCCAAGGGATGGTGAAAAAGGACTGACAACATGGCTTCCCCAATGCACCGCTGGGTCCCAGATTTTTTTCACAGGGTGCACACCGACCACTGAGACCCCTTCTCTCCCCTTTGGCTCCAGGCCTTTGGCGCTTGATTTTAAGCCCAGAATTTGTGGATAAATACCAAAAACATTTGGGTCGTAAGACATTTATACGTCGGAAACAGTCAAAGGGTTAAAGGCAGTCAAAACTGCCTCTGCCCGACAAAGGGTTAAGTAGACCTAGTAAAAACCCATAAGACAGACCAAGGGAGAGCCCCACCCACCCCAAGAAAAACTCAAAATATTTTCATTTCCCTTTTTTACTACTTTTGGTCTAAACAAACCAAAAACCTCTTTCCTAGTTGTCTTTCCCCTTCCCTCAGTTGATACCAAGAAACAGCCAACTTTTAAAAGTTCCCGTTTTTAAACGAAACACAGTGGGAAGTTTGCTTTTCCCATCATGCACTGTGGGGGGCATAATTTTTTAAGCTGTACATAATTACAGCATAGACAAATTCTCTCATATCTAGGTCAGAATTTACCACTCACAGCTTATTTGAAAGAGATGAGCTCAAAACAAGTCTGTGAGCAACACTAGCATCAGTGATGTAGATCTGTGGAAGAAAGTGAAAGGGTTAATAACAAAAATGCAATGTAATACTACTTTGATATTTTAATTTCTCATAGTTTTTTGTTATGCTCTCACAAAATGGGTATAACATTAAACCTCTGCTAAGCAATGGACCCATCTCTGGTGGGAGGTATGTACTGTGTCACTCCTCTCACAATTAAGATCAGACCCTTTATAAATTTTCATGTTTGTTATGCACTCATTGGAGATGTAACACCACTATGCCTTTACTAAGTACTGGACCCATCTCTGGGAACACATTTTTTTTAAATTTGATGATGAAAGAATTAATAGAAATTAGATACGGAATAGTAATGTCCTCGTCTCAAATTAAAACGTGAGCTTCTGTGGAAAAATGCTGTTTGTGTAATGAACAATTCCTTCTGACCCTATCTGGGTTGTTCAGTGGGGGTCCACTATAACATGTACATATATGGTGGTAATGTGAGAGTTTATACATGCTGTTGAGGGTGAAGGTGTTGGCCATTACTGTGACATTATTGACCTTATCATAATTAAAAACTGGAGAAACTGTTCATATATGTGGTAGTGTTGTATCATATCCCCCAAAATAGTATTAGACTCGTTACATAGTTTTGGAGAATGAAGTTCTTAACCCTTTAACTGTTGGACCGTTTGATCAGCACAATGTTTTTCCTACATTCAAATTTTGGCACCAAAGGCCTGTTTGGGCCAGGCATATGAATGGGTCAACACAGTGTGCTTCGTATTAAAAATCTGGGACCACGTGGTACCTCGGGGAGCACCACTTCAGCTAGTGCAGACAGTGTGGCAAACCCCCAGGACAACCATGGAAGGGTTAAAACTTGCAATTTTTAAAATTTCAACTACCCTTTTTTTTTTTTTTTTTTTTTTTTTTCCAAACAGCTAGGCTATTGGTAGGATGGAGTAACATTTTTTCTATGCCTTTTAGGTTTGTTGGAGAGAGTCATTTGAAAATTATTGATGAAATTTTAGAGGTAAGCTATTCATCTTATAAATTTCTTGAATTTTTTTTTTTTTTCAATCTTGGATATTTAGCATTCTGCTGCAAAAATTACATATTTCTCCTACAAATTTATCATATGCATTTGGTTGATACATTTGTGTAATACTTTTGAGCAACAGTATCTGTTTGATGTGCATCCAAAACTAGATCATTTTACTGGTATAAATTTTCCATTAGTCATTATGTGGAATAAATAACCACTTTTTTCTTTTTTTTTAAATCTTTCATGACAACTTTCATCTCTTCCTTCAAGGAGCTTACACTTTTTTTTTTTTTTTAACACGTCAGCCGTCTCCCACCAAGGCAGGGTGACCCAAAAAGAAAGAAAAAAAAAAAAAAGCTTTCATCATCATCCAACACTGTCACCATCACTCATACATAATCACTGTCTTTGCAGAGGCGTTCAGATACAACAGTTTAGATGTCCCTCCAAACTGCCCAAAATCCCAAAACCCTCCTTTAAAGCACAGGCATTGTACTTGCAATTTCCAGAAATCAAATCTGTGTAACTGGTTTCCATGAAAACCTCTTTTACTGCCTCCCCTCCAACCTTCTCAAGGACACCCTTATCCCATCTTCCTTTCCCTACAGATTTATATGCTTTCTAAGTTATTCTACTTTGTTCCATTTTCTCTCAATGGCCAACCACCACAACAACCCCTCTTCAGCCCTCTGACTAATAGTTTTAGCAGCCCCACACCTCCTAATTTCCACACTACAAATTCTCTGCATAATATTTACACCACACATTGGCCTTAGACACGTCATCTCCACTGCCTCCAGCCTCCTCTCCTCTGCAGCATTTACAACCCATGCTTCACACCCATATAAGAGTGTTGGTACCACTATACTCTCATACATTCCCTTCTTTGCCTCCATGGATAGTTTTTTTTGTCTCCACAGATACCTCAGTGCACCACTTGCCTATTTTCCTTCAGTTCTATGGTTAACCTCATAATTCATAAACCCATCCACTGACAAGTCAACTTCCAAATATCTGAAAACATTCACTTCTTCCATATTCCCTCCTTCCAATGTGATATCCAATTTTTCTTTTATCTAAATCGTTTGATACCCTCATCACCTTACTCTTATCTATGTTCACTTTCAGCTTTCTACCTTTACACACCCTCCCAAACATACAAATACTTTCAGAAATTGCCTTGTATTTATTTCCATTTTTGTCCACTCTGCATAAAGTGAACAGACTTCACTTGCATACTGCAGCCTAGTGCCAAACATAATAATTTTATTTTTACCACTGGCTTTATGGCTAGGGTGATATATACCTGCAAGGCAGGGTAACAATAAAATAAAAATTTTTAAAATTCTTGTGTACAGTATGTAGTAAAGCATTTCCGTAAGAAAATAAAAACTTTTCCCAACTTACCCGACATATCTTTACAGGATTCACACAAGTTTGCTCGTCAAATTGAGAAAGCTCTCTTGGATATGAAGAATCTCTTTGAATCTTTGAAAAAGAAGTAATGAAGGACCATATTAAGGAGAAAATTGCTTAAGCTGTGATCAGGTTTCCTCTTCAGTGGCAGGTTGCTAATCAAGCCTTGAATTTTGTATGTGCCCTAATATGGTTTTCATCCTATACTGTTACTGATGAACTTTAAGTAAGGTAAAAAAGTTTTAGTTCAAATGGGCAGTGTCTAGATTCTCTTGGCAAAGATACAACTTCATAGTACAGTATATTTTATTTTGATGATTTCTTATTTTAGTTATTTTATTTAATCTTGGGAATACTAAACTCATAGGAATCATATAGGCCTTGGGAAATGGGAGGCACTCAAATTCGATTCAAGAAAAGGGAGGACGGCTTCATTTCTTTGGATCAAGATTCCTTCACAGGCATCAAGGCACCTACATCCATTGAAAGTTGATAATCTCTGGAAAAGTTTATTTTAGAAAAGTCATGATTTGTAGATATGTATAGTTACAATTTTATTTTTGATTTTTGTATGGGATGAAATTTTAGGAAGTGTGTACAGTTATTCAATCGTATATTTACATAAATCATTTCAGAATAAGTGTGTGAAATACCTATTTGTAGCTACAAGAGCAGTTATGCTTTTGGGGGGTCATGCCTTAATTTTAATTATATATTTGTAATGTACATTTTTTTTTTTATTTCAGTGGTTGCATTTCCTGTAACCTTTTCAGTTGTTATACCAATATGAAGATCTTTATATTATCACTTTGGTACTACTTTAACCTTTATACCTATGGCCTCTTGTTTAGTATGTTACAGCTATAGCTTCTTGTTCTTCCATAGATTATAGCTATGTCACTTCTTCCTTAGGGCATAACTATGACCTCTTATTCTCCTTGTTGTATCTTGTGTGTATTCTCTTATAATTTTATGTGGTTATTATTTTAGGTATTTTCCTCTTATCAATTAATGAAAGCATGTCAACCTTTTAGCCATTATCTGTAACTTTTTTAATAACTTTGAGAGCAATTTTGTTTGTCTTTGGAATTTTTCTTTTAGGTGCAAACACTATACCATCACTGCATATACCAGTATGAGAAAAATTGTCTATTTGTACTTACAGGACTAAAGCTTTACTCCTGACTCCTTGGCTTCCCAGAACAGTGTAGGCAACTTTTCTTGCCTACCATTTATTCATCAAAGACATACAGGTCCTCCATCATAAATCCGGCATCATTGGGACCTGTAGTGTGCCGGATTACTGAGTTTGCCGGATTGCAGAGTGGTTAGGTTAGAATACACTTTATAAAAATTAACCATCTTGACTTACACAATTCATTGAACATTGGCAAAAATCGAACATTTCCGCTACTTTCGTCATGAAAGCAATCAAAATCATGCCCTATTTTTGTAATATATCTTCCATTCTATCAAAAGAGTCCCAAAAAAATGAGAATACAACCATAAAAACCATACGAAAAATATACTGCAAAGGGGCGGCTAATGGCTGGGAAGTTAACTCCCCTTATTTATTGTCCGTCTTTTTTTATTTTTGTGGTACGTTAAGAAGCATCTTTCGATCATACATTGCCCAAGTTTCAATGAGATAGCCCAACAAACAACCAAGAAAAAAAAATATTTACCAAAAATCATATATGGCAAGCCCAAGCCAGGTACTGGAAATAAGTCACTTTGTCTGACTTTTCTGGGTTATCCCAGGTTCTCTATACATACGCTGCTATGTATGATAATCTATGTAACTGTATTTGTGTATACCTGAATAAACTTACTTACTTCTAGTCTGTCAACTGAGTGCAAGAAACCGCTCATTCACTTACTTCAACTGCCCAATAAAGTGGTCAGAAATTGGCAATTTGGCCGATTTCACACAAATTTCAATATATGCCAATTTCAAAATAGGATCCAGAATAAACAATGCAGACATTCCTGGCACTAAAATAACTTTTTCCCTCTGTTCATTAGTCATGGCTACAGGCCCCTCTTGTATTACTTTTTGCTTTTCATTTGGAATTTTTATTTACAAAAAAAAAAAAAATAGAAGATTTACTGTTATGCAGACTGCTGCATTATTGTAATAATTGTATAAATAATGTCAACCCAGACTATGTATTGAATTTGGACTGGCAGGCGGACAGGTATTGGACAGTGACGTCCTTTGTTTACTCTTGAGCTTCGCTAAAGAATAGAACATTTTCGCTACTGTGAGCGCAATTTCAAGGTACTTTTCGTCATGAAAGCAATCAAAAATCATATCTATTTCTGTAATATATCATTCATTCTATCAAATGAGACCGAAAAAATGAGAATATGACCATAACCATACAAAAATATACCGCTAAGCGGCCGCTAATGGCTGAGAAGTGAACTCCGCTATTTATGGTCTGATTTCTTTCATTTTTGGTGTACGTGAAGAAGTATATTTCCATCATACATTGCCCAAGTTTGAATAAGATAACCCAACAAACAACTGAGAAAATAATAATAATAATAATATCTTTATTTACTACACATACATGTACAAGGTATACAGGCCTAGCTGACATCAGTGACATACTACTGTATAGAAAGCTGCTTGTTATGCAGAGTATTTCAAGAAAATTAGGTCAGTGTCCCAGGATAACATGCACACTAGTCGGCTAACACCCAGGTACCCATTTACTGATGGGTAAACATAGACAGTAGGTGTAAAGAAACACGCTGGGAATCGAATATTTACCAAAAATCATATATTGCTAACCCAAGCCAGGCACTAAAAATAAGCCACGTTGACTTTTTTTTGGGTTATCCTAGGTTCTCTACACATATGCTGCTGTGTGAGATAATCTATAGAGAGAAAATAACTTTTTTGTTTCAGGTTTATGGTGCAGTATGAGTGTATATCACAGTTAGCCCTGTGCTACACTGTTTTCTCTAATATAAGCCCCCAGGACAGGAATAGGAGAATGGTATTTGTATACATATCCTCTTCATACCTTCGTCGAATTGCTCGGTGTTATGACAAATATTATTCATTCTGGAGTATTTAACATGTTTTATGTTATTTATATTGTTTCTTATGTCATATTAGATCAATTGTGATAGGCAAATAAGCTGTAGTGTTGATATTAGCGTAATAATAAAGCATATTCTCCTGCTTCGTGAGACTGAGCTCATGGCAACCGACAGTGGCTTCAAAGCCACCTTATCTTTAATGGATAATGTACTGTGCAGGTGCTTTACATAATGAGAAGCATTTCTTTTATTCATTGGAACCATGGCTAGGGCTAAAAGTAAGCAGGTTAAAACAATAATTGGAGAAAAATTGGAATGACGTATGCAGCAAGTAGCGCCACCAAACAGTACCAGCAGGTTGGTGGAAATTTGAAATTATGCTAGCCAAAATTAGTGCCGAATAACTGAAGGAACCAAATAACTGATTGCCGGATTTGTGATGGCGGACCTGTACTTTATATGCAGAGCAAGCATTTGTCCCCCCCTCCCCCTTAACCAAACTCACTATGCTGATGAAAGGCTCTTTATCCAAGTAATTGGATATGTTCTCCCTTGGATTAAATCTGATGGTCTCCAACTTTGTAGGCCCTGTATGAGCCCAACAGGTTAATGCTTCACCACAATAATAATAAATGTGTGGCAATGTTTCGCTTGATGTAAAGCTTTGAGTCCAGACATGATTAAGCTTTATGCAAAGCAAAGTATTGTCACAGTAAAAGCTTGCTCTGTGTACTTTTCTGATATAATGTTTGCCATTGTTCATTTATCAGCTGATATGCCTTAACCCTTAAATGGTCCAAACTTATATATACGTTTTTTCAACATCTGAAAGTATGTAAAAAAATGTAGATCTTCTTTTTTGTTTTACATTTGAAAACGTGTAAAAAAAACTTTTATCTACATTTTTTTTTGTTATATTTGAAAATATGTAAAAAACAAGTAGATCCACTTTTGTAGCAATACAAATTTGAACGCGATCTGTTTGGACCGTTTAAGGGTTAAATATAAATTGGTGGGTAGTAGAGTTCCTCTGCATTTTAGTTTCGGGATTTAGGCTCGTGTCTCGTTTGGTCATGTTCAGTTTTAAAATGTTTTGGTCAAATTTTTTTAAAGGTTTCTCTTCCAGACAGTATCTTTGAATTTCATATACAGTATATGGCTATGTGTACTGTAACTTAAAATGTACCTGAATTCATAGTTATAAATTAAAAAAAAAATGGCATCCTCTCTTTTTTACATTTTTTTTTTTCAACATGTTCGGCCATCTTTCCCCCCAAGGCAGGGTGACCCAAAAAGAAAGAAAAAAACTTTCATTACCATTCAACACTTTCACCATCATTCATATATAAATAATAATATATAAGTTTCTTTGCAGAGGTGCTCAAATACTACAGTTTAGATGTCCCTCCAAACTGCCAATATCCCAAACCCCTACTTTAAAGTGCAGGCATTGTACTTCCCATTTCCAGGACTCAAGTCCAGCTAACCGGTTTCCCTGAATCCCTTCACAAAATATTACCCTGCTCACACTCCAACAGCTTGTCAGGTCCCAAAAAACATTTGCCTCCATTCACTCTTGTCTAACAGGCTCATGCATGCTTACTGGAAGTCCAAGCCCCTCCCCACAAAACCTCCTTTAACCCCCTTCCCTCCAACCTTTTCGAGGTTTAGTTCCAGTCGCTCTTACTTTTTTTTTTTTTTTCCTCCAAAGAATTTCTTCCTGCCTTACTATTGTGTAGTATATTCCTAGCATGTTGGAATTTTGAGTGATTGGATTTCAATATTTCTTAATGTTCCAATTTGATTTTTCTAGCTTTCCAATTTCATCTGTTGGAGTACTGAAAAAATTGGTAACTTTGCATTTGCACCTTAAAACATGTCTTAATGTAATTAAAATAGAAAAGTTCAAAGACTTTAATGGAATATGAGGATAGTGAAGGCATTTTAATTACTATTTGGACAAAAAAGGAAATGATATTTACACAAGTTTTAGAAGCATGTAGAAAAGGAGAATTTATTGCCAGCAACAGGGAGTGTCCTGATTTAATCAGAGTTGCAGAAATGTCAAAATGAAGAGTAAAATGATGGCAATGCAGAATACATAGGATAATAGAACAGTCAAGAATGAATTATGTAAAGACAAGGAGAGAGTTAAGTGACATAGTATTGAAGACCAAGATAGTAGATATTGCTTCACATTCTAATAAGAAAGAAATTGCCCATAAAGGACCATATAACAAGGCTAAAGAAGGTGGGTGGCTTCATTAATATGATGGGTATCAGAAAGCAGAGAAGAGAAGAGCAGGGCAACTGCTTCTAGATTCACATAACTAAGGATTAGTACACTTAGAAGACTGAAATTTACAACAATTCAGTTAGATTTGGACCATTAATTGGTCACTGTGACTAATGGTTCAAGTCAGACCAAAACATCGTCATAAGTTTATCTCCTAAATGTGGTTTATTTGCGTACTGTTCTAGCATTATGCAAATTGGGAGGTTTAGCACTTTATTTGATTATAATAATAATGCAAATTGGGGATGGCAAGAGAAGACTTGACACACAATCTTGGAAGGACAAAACTCCATATGTGGATCAAAAAGGACCTGGCAGTAACTGTATCAGTAAATATGCAAATAAACCACATAAATTGGCAGCATATGCAAGGCAAATAGGCCTAAAAACTGCTGTGTGGAAAGTAAACCTGGTTTTTCTTGGACTTTATATGATGTGTATGGATAGTCAGAGTAT